AACACAGGAGTTGAGGGTGTGTGGGACATGAAGGCTGAGTGAAGGGACTCAGCTGGGCAGAGAAGTGAGGGCATCAGGGCCTGATAGATGAGAAGCGGGTAGAGGAAGAAGCCAGAGACTTTAGGTTCTGGAAATCTGGAGAAGAAATATCCAAGCCCCCATGTGTCTGGTGCAAGATCAGACTCTGTCCATGCTATCAGCATGCTTTAGAGCTAGGGGTACCCCAAAGACAAAATTTAAAAAAAAACCAGAGTTGGGGTACCTGCCCTATGAACTACAGTGGGGCTTGCCATGGACTCTAATAGACATATGATGGGAGCCACCTAGGTAATTTAAACTTCTCTAGTTGCCACATTAAAAAAGGAATAGGTAAAATAAATTTTAATAACATTTTACTTGACTCAATGTATCTAAAATATTATACACATATGATCAACACAAGAAATTAGTAACATATTTTACATTTTTTCTCTACTGTCCTTGTGGAACATGATGTGACAGCACAGCTACAGAGTGCTCACACTTCCTCTGAAACAAGGTATTTCCATAGCACATGCACATTCCTGGCTTTCGGGGGCAGTTCCAATTTCAAAGGTTCATCCTCCCTGGTCCCCAAGGGTACTGTCCCTGTGGGATCTCCATCCTGACTGGGATTCAGGAAGCAGCTATTCTGGCCTCCTTGCCCACTGTACCCACTGCTGTTCTCACTATATTCACTGTGGCCACTCATGGTCCATCTTCATAAATATAAACTCAGCTAAAGCTGCCAGCAGGTTTCAGGTTCACAGAGTAGTCCTGATCTCAAACCACACACCAACCCCTTGTCAGTAATCGAAGTGAGAGGAGCCTTTCCGAGTCCTCCACACATGCACCAACTGCACACACCGCAACAGAGGGGCTAGATGTGTACAGTCTACCGTCTAATGAGAAGCCTGCCTACGAGATGTGGGGAAGGCATGCTGCCCCGCCCTGAAACCTCCCATACAAAGAACCTCCAGGAGGCAGGTTTGCCCTAATCTCACAGTACCCTAGGGGCCTTCGCTTGCTCCTGAAACCCTGCCCCTAACTCATTGAGGTCAGAGCCTCCTCTATCTGCCAGGCACAGCCAGAGGGTTGTGATGAAGTGCCATTTATCCCATCAGTCCACATCCCTTCTCCTCAAGCACCTGCATCCGTCTGGCCAAAGTGATAAGATAGAGAGTTATCAGTGAAAAGGGACCTTTCTGTATGAAGATAGCTGCAAATTCCACCCAAGGGACAAAGGGGTGGTGGCTTAGGCCTTCCTTTAGGAGAGGAATGAAATACACTTATGCTAAAACTGCCATTGGCACAGATGTGTACACATTTCATGGTAGCCTGTGTTTTTAAAGTTTCTGATACAAACTATTTATCAAAGTTTTCTGTTCACACAGTTTACAAAATGCTGAGACAGATGGAGGTATTATTAAAATATAAAGCCGTGTTTTTGAAAAAGGATTTTTGTACTTGTTTTTCTTAAAATCAATGAATTAACACTGGAATTCCTTTTCAGCTTAGTGTTTTTAATGTTTTAATTAAAAAATACACACACATACACACACACACACACACACAATTGCTCTTTATCTCCAACATTTCAAAGAGATGTGCCAACATCTGAGGCTGCTCTTAGAATGATAAATTACACATTTTTTTAAAATTACAAATTAACAATGACCCCTATTGCCCCTTAATCCTGTAAATACCACCATCCAAACTGGCTTTAATATATAATGACTTCTCAGGAAATCATGTCTAAATAAGGGCTTTTCATCAGATTTCCTCATAACATACAATATGCATTTATCTATTTGAGAAGCAAAAAAAAAAAAAAAAATTAGTGTGCCAACTTTAGGCTTGTTTCTTCAAATTATATATTCATAATTTTTCAATGTGGTGGAACAAAGTATCTCCTGTTCTTAAAAAGAGGTGCAAGCTGGGTGTGGTGGCACATGTCTGTAGTCCGAACTACTCGGGAGGTCGAGGCAAGACTGCTTGGGCTTAGGAGTTCAACACAAGTCTCTGCAACACAGTGAAACCCCCAACTAAGAAAAACAAATGGAAGAAAGACAAAAAGAGGCAGTCTTGCCTTGTTTAAGGCTGTCACCAAAACATACTAGCATGGCAGGATATCTGGGGACAGGGTAAGGGGTCACAGGAACAATGGTCATGGATAGGCAGGACTGGGCACATGCAGGCACCACCAAAGCCTGACACCTAAACACCCTTCCTGACATCTAATATTTCAGAAACAAAACAGAACTGGATTTCCTTCCACTTGCTTTGAGTCACATACAGAAGTGGTGGGTGCACCCTATGATGCTTAGGGTTTCTTAAGGTCTCCCTCTGTGCCTGGTGGTATGGTCATTTATTTCTTCTCTTAAGGCACTCTGAGTGCCTACTCTGTGCGGCGCACATGCTAAGAACTGGACACAGAAAGATGCATCAGAGAACTGCCCCGTGTCAAGCAGCTCAAAGTCCAATGAGAGCTCCTAGTCTCAAACGTTTTTAAAAGGAGGAAAGAGAAAAAGATATTTTACATGAAAACCTACACTCAACTGACTGAACAATGAAATAATTCTCTTTACACTCAAGTGATACCAAGAGCTCCCCTAAGCTTTCACAGTAAGTGGCAGATGAAAAGTTCCCACCTTGGCTGGGCGCAGTCGCTCATGCCTGTAATCCCAGCACTTTGGGAGGCCGATGCGGCTGGATCACGAGGTCAGGAGTTCCAGACTAGTCTGGTCAACATACTGAAACCCCCGTCTCTACTAAAAATACAAAAAATTAGCCTGGTGTGGTAGTGTGAGCCTGTAATCCCAGCAACCTGGGAGGCTGAGGCAGGAGAATTGTGTGAACCCAGGAGGCAGAGGTTGCAGTGAGCCAAGATCGGCCATTGCACTCCAGCTCAGGCAACAGTGCAAGACTCCATTCCCCGCCTCCCCCAAAAAAGGTTGCCCCCCTAACTGCTCTCCTCCACTGTACAAACGTGCTCTAAATCCCAAATCACTACAGCCCACAGTTGTAGGTTTACCTCTCTACATACGAATATTTCAGATGTTTCTCCGCACTAAGCTGGAAGCCCCAGCGGAAACAGGGACCATGTTTCCTTGTGCGTGGCAATGGAACCCCAGGGCCTAGTCCAGAATGAGGGCTCAACAAATGTTTATGGAAGGGATGAAGATTTATTTTAGAGAAATCTAAAACATTTTAGACCTTACAAGGTCCTTGCGTCTAAACATTCCTCCAATTATAACTAAAAAACGAGGAGCTATAGAAAACTATTTAAATTTTGTTTCCAAAAACATTCATTTTGGTTTCTTAAAAAATAATTAATTACTGAACAGATCACTGGCTGGTGTGGACTGTTGAACACAGTGCTGTAACTTCCTGCTTACAGCATGTGAGATACGTCTGAAAGTTTTGCTTTCCGTTGTGAAAGCACTGATGACTGCTTGACTCGCTTAAAGCAAATAATGGGGTTTTTTTTGGGTAAAAATAAATAAAATAAATAGTATAAATGCCTAAAAACAAAATAGGCATATTTTTGGCTAGAATTTTTTTTTTCCAAGGACAAATCTCCAGCTTATTTTACTGCCTGAGCCGAAACAGATGCTCACACTAAGTTGGTGGCGGAGCAGACTCAAAGATTCCAATAATGACATGTATAGTGTGTGTCAACAAGAGAACAAGTGTACCACAAATCTGCGAACGAGTCCCCAGCTAAGGTGAAAACTTGACAGCGCTACTCTGAGGTGAGCTATCCCCTCCCTCCTCTGGGGTTCAGAGTGGCCCAGAGAGGCGGTGGTGACAGGCGCTCTGCGGCCCGGCTGTGTCCCCCTCGGCGCTCCGGGACCCCGCGAGTGGAGAAGGAGAGGGAGGGAAGTGGCGGAGTAGGGCCCTACCTGCCAGCCTCCAGCGCTCAGGGTACGCCAGCCCCAGGAGCTTCCGGGCCTCCGAGAGTCCGGCCGCTGCCGGGCGCAGCCGCCCGTCGTCGCCGGGAGGCGCCGCCGGCCCGCGCCGCCAGGCCTCGCTCCCCGCCCAGGCAGTGGCTGCGGGACGGCCCGGGAACCCTGCGCGCGGGAGCCGAGGAGCGCCCGGCCCGGTGAACGCCCCGCACCTGCCGGGGGCCGGAGCCCAAAGCCCCAGGAGCCGCGCGAGGCCAGCGCCGCCCCGCGAACCACCCAGACCCCCGCCCCAGCAGCAGCTCCTCCAGCGGCGCGGGGCTCCAGAGCCCCCGAGCAGTGCCTGCCCCGCGCCCCACAGCCGCGCCGGCCTCAGGCCAGCGAGAGGCGACAGGGACCCGGGGGCGCGGCCGGCCGGGGCCCACACGCAGGCTACCGGCAGCAGCCGCCCTGGAGCGGCCGGGCCCCATGGCGGGAGCAGCCGCAGCTGCCAGGCAGGCGGGCAGCGCATGGCGCCGCGTCCGACCGGTACGCCTCAGCCAGCCGGCCAGGAGCGCGCAAAGCCGTAGGACCCTCCAGGCCCGGCCCCGAGTAAAGGGCGTGGACGCGGTGGCACCCGCCCCTCCCCGCCGGCTGTCACCCGCCTTATCGTGCCGGCAGGCTCGGGCCGCGCGGGTCCCATCCTCGTCCGCGCGGTGACGCGCCCCTTCACGCCACCCCGGGGACTGCGACCCTGACCTTGCACGCCACCCTTCCCAGCGCCCCCCAGCAGCTCGGGTGCCCTCCCCGAAGCGCCCCCAACTGCCCGCTAGCGGAAGAGCGCCGGGCGTGCAGCCCGGGACGATGTCCCGGAAGCCTTGGAGCACAGCTGCGCCTGCGTACTGCGCGCGGGGAACTTTTTCGCGCTTCACGTCCCCTCTGGTCTGAACTTGGAAGCGGCACGAGCTCTTTCTCACGCTGGCAGACCTGCGGAGCGCGCAGACGCGACCACACGATGGCCGGCAGAAGGATGGGGCGGGAGGACAGCTTTCTGGACACGGCGTGGGGCGGGTTCGCGGCCCGGGAGACCCGGGCTGGAGCGGCCCTGTCACCCGTTTCGCTGCCAAGCACAGGGCTGAGGTGCGGAGGGACTACTGAGAGGACTTCAATGCGAGTCAGTTCACCTGTGGACGGCGTGTGGAGGAGGTGGTTGGCGAATAGTGAAATATACATAACTTTGAGAAGGGAAGAGATCGTTTCTTAACGAGAGCAGAAATTTGAAGGCAGACGCGGTGGAGGCATTCCCGCTGCCCGAAGTGCAGAAGACCAATCAGAATGCAATGTATCTTAATACACGTGCAAGGAAAGACAGGAGAGGACATTAAAACTGGGACAGTTTATGGAGACTTCATGGTTGGGGGAATCTGTACCTTGGGCACAGTGAGTCGTGGCTGTAGAAGGTGGGTAGATTTTTGTAGACTCGTAGGTATTTTTCCTGGACCTGGACAGGGTACTGGCCTCCCTTTCAAATGTTTTAGGTTCACAAAACAAAAAACCTCAATAATCAACATAAACATTTTAGTGCAATTTTCTTTCTTTCTTTTTTTTTTTTTTTGAGACGGAGTTTCGCTCTTGTTGCCCAGGCTGGAGTGCAATGGCGCGATCTTGCCTCACCGCAACCTCCGCCTCCCGGATTTAAGTGGTCCTTCTGTCTCAGCCTCCCGAGTAGCTGGGATTACAGGCATGCACCACCACTCCCGGCTAATTCTGTATTTTTAGTAGAGATGGGGTTTCTTCTTGTTTGTCAGGCTGGTCTCGAACTCCCGACCTCAGGTGATTTGCCCACTTGAGGAGTCTGAGGCAGGATAATCGCTTGAATCCAGGAGGTGGAGGCTGCAGTGAGCTGAGATCACGTCACTGCACTCCAGCCTGGGCAACACAGCAAGACTGTGTCTCAAAAAACAAAGAGGAGTGCCGGGCGCGGTGGCTCAAGCCTGTAATCCCAGCACTTTGGGAGGCCGAGGCGGGTGGATCACAAGGTCAAGAAATCGAGACCATCCTGGTCAACATGGTGAAACCCCGTCTCTACTAAAACTACAAAAAATTAGCTGGGCATGGTGGTGCGTGCCTGTAATCCCAGCTACTCAGGAGGCTGAGG